TGCTACTAGTAGTAAGGCCAGGAGCCCCTAGTAGCTTCTTTGCTACTGTAAACTCACGAGGTCGCGGCCTATTTTCACACTCACAAACCCTTGTGCCTAAAAGGCGTCGAAAGCAGCGGGGTCAACTGGGAGTGATCTATTCACACTCCCAACCTTTACTGTTGACCGTGCTGCCTTTTAGTGCTTTCAAGTTGGACCACCAGCTCCCTTTTGAAGTGAGCTTCGTCAGACCATCCGCTAGCTGGTGGCCTGTGGGGATCCTCCTCCTGCTGCGCCATTTGCCACAGAGCCGCTAGGTCCACCCGCTTCTCCGATGGTGCTCGCGGGCCTCCAGCGCGATGCACCGAGTCGTACAGACTTTTGCAGTCCGCCATCGACAGCAGCGGCAGCTCGCCCGGGCACACGGCCTGAAAGCACCCTCGAAGTAGGTCGCGGAAAGCCAGTCCTGCCTCCCATCCTTCCAAGGCTGCCATCGTTTCTGAGGCAAAGGTGCTCCGACATACCCTTTGACATGCATGTGACTTCCACGCGGCCACGATCCCGGCTCCGGTCCTTCCCACCAATGTGTCCCGGTGCGAAATCACCACCACATAGCCTAATTGGGGGTAGATGCCGGTGTCCTTGGTCTCGATGTAGTCCTCTTGGTTGTACTCGTCGGTCACATTGGCCCAAGCTGCGGCGTGGTAGACGACGATCAGCAGGTCATCCCAACCCCCCAGCTTATTGTAGACGAGCTTCTCGTCCTTCTCCCTCTGTGCCATCTTCACTACATGGTTGGTCTCCTTGATGTCCTCATAAGTTGGCGACTTCTGTTTTCTCTGGGCCATTGAGACACCCACCTGGATGTCAGGCCTGGTCTGGGATGCCAGCCAAGATAGTGCTCCGATCGTGGACTGGTTATCCATCTTGGCCACTTCGTCTGCCTGGTCCGAGAGCTATACCCCTTTTGGGATGTCCACGGTTTATTCGCGGGTGTTCACATAGTGCTCCTGGCGCAAGGTGACCTGCAGGTTGTCTTGCTTCGCTGTCACCCCACAGTACTCCAGCCCGCCAGATGCTTCCTCCCAGGCGTCTATCGGGAACACCCCCTGCTCCAGTGCTTTGCGAATGGGTGTTGGAGCCGTGACCAGGATGTCGTCCACGTGTGTAGCCAATAGGCCGAACAGCTGATTGTCCTTGTCAACGATGAGGAATAAGCAGCTGTCCAACTTATGTTGAACTAGTTGTAGTCGTCCATGAGCGGTTTCAATGGTGACCTCCAGGAGTGACTGGGCCAGTTTGTTCCACAACAAAGCCTAGGCGATGTAACCCAAATACCCCTTTCACAATCTCGATCAGGCCGCCGGGTTCCACTCCCTCCAAGTCATTGGCAGGTGGTTCGAAGTAGAGGTCCCTCCTGGCCTCGACCCCGTACAAGAATGCTGCTTCGATGTCCCCGGCAGTCAATGTCCACCCCATCTGAGCCGTGAGGAAGACGAGGCACGTTATCGAAGTCTTGGTTGCCGTGGGTGCCTCCGTCGTGAGCTGTCCGGACTGTAAATCAGGATCGCGATGTCCTCCCACGCAGAGGCGTGCTTTTGCTTTTGGCGGCACACTTGGATCTTCGCGTCTCTTGGCACAGTTCTTGTCTCTGTAGGCGAATCTGGCCCTGAGGATCCGGCTCTTGTGCACTCTTTTTTTTCTCTCGATGCTTCTTGTGCCCCGATGATCCTAATGGCTTTGTACTTCAAATGTTCCTTCCATTGCTTTGTTTCGGCCTCCTTGTAGAGGTGGACCTCATCCTCCGGGATCTGATTCCACTTTAGCTCTTTGTCTGCTTGCTTTTGGAGAGCTCGAGGCACTCTCTTCTCTGAAGCCATATAGCAGAGCAATTCATGGTCTTCTGGAACGGGAACTCGTTCAGCCTCAGGCATCATAGCACAGTACCCCTTTTGTCGCATGCGCCTCTCAGGCGCTGACAAATCCGCCGGTCTTTTGGCCCCAGTGCTAGGCTCCTCCTCCATGAGTTCATCTCCAGAGGGCATTGACGGAGTATATTCCATATCTTCCTCTTCATGTGGGGGTCCGGGGTCTCCTGTGGCGTCCGCGAAGACCTCCTCGTTGTCGGCTTCCATGCCCTCGATGAGCTTGATGAGATCGGACCTTACCGCCTTAGCCTGAAGTGTTCCCCCGAGTTCTTCTGATTCAGCCAGGCGAAGATGTTCTCGAACGCATAAAAGACACCTTCCTCCACGTGACACCCAGAAGTTCTTCCCTTCTTGTCCCACTATGACTCCTGGACCGATCCACTCGCCCACTTGTTGTCTTTTGCGTACCCCCCTTCCTGCCACCTTTGAGGTCCTGTAGAGGTAGACGTACTGCCCCTGAGTGAAGTCTCCATGTTGTACTCTGGGCCTGCCGTGGATGGCACGTTGTGGGCTCTCCGAGGCTTGATGAATGTATGTTTTTGTAGCTGTACGTCTGACCTCATTCTTTCTGGTCCACTGGTCTTGCGTTGGGATGAGGGACTGTCTCTCCGTGTTCTCCTCCTCATCATCCAAGATGCCCACCCCCAGGCGAGGTGCAACCCCAAAAAGCCATTGCGCAGGGGAATAGCCGCGTCGCCGTCGAAGGTAGTTCTTGGCTTGGGCGACTGAAGCTAACACCCACTCTACCTCATGGTCCTGCATCGAGAGGTGCTCCTTGACCCTGATTGTGCACCTGTAGGCCATGCTTTTCCAATTCTTCGGGGAATTCTTTCATGTGCCCCCTCTCTTGATCAACCAGGGTACTCTGGGGCGCCCCCGCCCATGCTACCCAATTCTTCAAGAAACTCTGGGCGTAATCCTCTGCCTTTTGTCCCGGCACTGGAGCAACCACATGGTATCCTGACCCAATGTCCATGATGGAGAGGACCGTCACCTTGTTCCCCGAGAGGTCGTAGTAGCTTCTTTGCTACTAGTAGTAAGGCCAGGGGCCCCTAGTAGCTTCTTTGCTACTAGTAGTAAGGCCAGGAGCCCCTAGTAGCTTTTTTGCTACTAGAAGTAAGGCCAGGAGCCCCTAGTAGCTTCTTTGCTACTAGTAGTAAGGCCAG